CGTTTATTGTTATCATTAATACCAAAATTATTAATTTTATCATTATTACTATCAATTTAATTGTTATTATAATCATCACAATTATTCTTGATATTATTTTGTTCTCATTGTTATCATCATTTGTTTATTTTTATTTCCAGGTTCTAAAGTTACTTCTCTCGCCATTGATGAGGATGGGAGACGGTTATTCGCGGCTTGTAGGGCATCTTACATCTCTAGTGTGAACTTGAACGGTAGCCAGCTGCACCGAATCTACCTACGAAATGTTTACAATGTTATCGTGGCTGGGGATGCTGTTATAACGTAAGACATTGAATAGTCAGATGATTACTTGTCTTTTTATCTTCAACCACCGGCGTAGCCAGGGGCGATTGGGGTGCCCCTAAAAGAGATGGACAGGAGGGGGCGGCTCATCGGGACATTGTACACCATAACATTTTAACATCAGGAGGGGAGTATCTGATCAACCTCTTATTAAACAGTAGAATACTGATTGATACTTAACTCAATACAAAGGCTTTGAATATTGATATTCTGACTACCAATGGTTTGCATAACTTTCTAATCCAAAATGGCGTTCATTTTTTTTCTTTTTCAGGACCAACGACTCACGAAAGTTACTGGCCTCGACATGGGATGGTGGTATCTATCATATGGAGCTAAATGGTACTGACAAACAGCTCGTATATGCAGTTAACGGCAAACATCTCACCATCACCTGGGATAAGGAATGTAAGATTTTGATTTTATTTGTACAGATTTTAATTGATTTAAACTTGATTTGATTTGATAAGACTTGATTTGATGTTAGATGGTTGTGATGAACAGCTCTAAAGGCAAACAACGATTTGTAATCGCCATCATTTGGAAGAAGAAGTGCAAGATTTGATTTAAATTAGATTAGATTATCTTTATATGAAAGACGGCAGAAATAATACAAAATCATGTCTTTTAGTAACAAAAAGGAATAACAATGATAGCTATGACTCCATTAACAATGTGATATATTCATGTTAACATTTAGGAATCCTGTCTTCTTTACGATCTGTATGTTTGTCTTGCTTCCCCTCCTCCTTTTTTCTTCTTTTCGTTTCTTCTTCTCTCTCTCTCTCTCTCTCTCTCTCTCTCTCTCTCTCTCTCTATCTCCCTGTCTCTCTCTCTCTATCCCTGTCTCTGTCTGTCTGTCTGTCTGTGTCTCTCTCTTATCCCAGGTCGGCGCATATTCTATGCGTATAGGGATGCGGAATTCACAATTCAAGTGGTTGACATAACTGGAGAAAATCACCGAATCTTGATCACCCATGCCCGTCTTCAAATCGAGGGACTGGCCTACTATGACGGCTACGTGTACTGGACTAACAGTAACACAAACGTGCGGGACTACGGAACGGGAATTGGAAAGATATCGGCTGAGGCCAACAATACCCAATATTTTGAGTTCTACCCTCAGTCCTGGAGTGGGTATGAGATCATTGCTCGTGGTGGTGAGTGAATATTAAATATTGTGTGTAAAAACAAACAAAAGAGAGAAGGTGGTGAGAGGGGTGGAGAAAGTGGCGTAGCGCCGAGGAAAGATTAGTATGATGGGTGCCAGGCGATTTTTGATGACCCCCCCCCCCTCAAAAAAAAGAGCTCTTACCCCCCTTTTCGTTGCGAAATTTTTGGGACCAAAAATAAAATTAAATATGTGCTCTTACCCCCCCCCCCCCCCCCGCTTATTTAGCGGCTGGCTGAGGCGTTGCGAAATTTTCGGCCAGATTTAAAATGTTACCCCCCTCCCCCCCCCCCCCCCCCCACCTTGAACAAATCCTGCGTACGTCACTGATGGGTGCGATTGGCCCTATCCCATCATAATCGATGAGAAAAGAAAAATGGACGAAAATTGAGAGAAAAAGAATAGATTGATTGATTGAAGTTTTCTCGTAAGAATAAGTAGCCTACATTTACACATTCAATACACAATAATTAAGAGAGAGAGAGAACAGAATATTTAATAATAACCTATAAAAGCTGATAATTGGCTTATTTCCATAGATAGGAATGGAAAGTAGAAGAAGATCAGATTTATCCTTCCTATTCGAAGGGGAAATTACCCCCCCCCCCCCCCCACCCACCTTCACCTCCGACACTCTCCACACTCTCCACACTAACCCTCTATTAAAACGCATCCGAACGAATGATAATTAAAATACAAAGGAGAGAAGATTTGACATAGATAACCGAGGAGGGAGGGAGAGGGAAAGAGAGACAGAGAAGGAAAGAAAGAAAGAAAACGAAGAAAAAAGAAAGAAGAAGAAGGGTTTGACTCAGTGACGGATCCAGGATTTTTCCAAAATCGCGCCGTTTTACTTTTTTTCTTCTTTTTTTCCTTCTTTTTTTCCTTCCTGTTTTTTCTTCTTCCCCCCCCCCTTTTTTTGTTTACTTGGCCGCCCGGGGGGGGGGGGGGGGGGTGGTGAAACCGCCGAACCCCCCTAGATCCCCCTGGCCTTGGCAGGCCCTTCTCCGTTCGAGCCACTCCCTCTCACTTCGTCACATACGTCAATTTCGGATATCTTCAATATACAAGTACATACAAAAGTACCAAAACAAGCTACAAATTAATCATGGCGGCCTAATAATCATGTAATTAATCATGTAATCAGAAGTTACAAATTGATCATGTACATGCTTATACACCTTTTGTGTATTGTCACTAATATCATTATATCAATATTATATCTCTTTTACAGACCTTAAAATGAGGGAGTTTGAGTGAATTTCTCGACAAAGTACCCAAAGGCTTTGAGGACGGCGTGACGGCATGACGATACATTTCACATTCTAAATCTTGTTTTCTTACATTTTAATTGATATGTATTGGTGCCTCATTTCCTTGATAATTATTGTTAGTCTGGTGTGTACACCTGCTGTCATAAGCAGTATCAATTATAGAAAAATCTATTGATTTTAAATGAATTTAAGCAAGGCACATGTACAAAATAAAGGCAAGAACCCGAAGCCCCAAACCCCCCGAATTATTTTTTTTTAGAACTGCGCCTGAAAGTACGTGGCAGGCTGTAAACTCCATATATATTTAATTTTTATACATTTTCAACCTTAATAATCATAAACATATTTTAACAACATTGTAAAAATTGAACTCTTTAGGACCAGTCAGTTTAAATGTAGATAATTAAAAAAAAATAATAATAATAAGATAATAATAGATAATTTGTTGAGAAACATTCTGAAGCTTTTTGTCTTGAACTATATATACAGGTAACCAGAAAACCGAAAATTCGGATAATAACCGGAATCTTTAGAGGGGTTGTCGTCAAGTCGTTTAAGCACTTAAGCACTGAAATACAAAGGTCATGGGTTTGATCCCGACGCGACACAAAATTCCTTTGGCAAGGCAGTAATATATCGATTTTTCTAATGGTCACTGTATATGCCTACTTACTTGTATTTGATATGTAATCATTTCTATATATGTCTTTATTTCTATTGTCTTTTATATTCGTATCTTGATTTTGAAATGTTTTTAAAGCATATTATTATTATTACTATTGTCGATTAGAATCATATTGTTTGTACATGTTGTATACAAAAAATAACTTTGTTTGTTCATAGCTTTGTGCAATAAATTCTCTGTGCGTGTTTCATCATGTAAATATTGTTTTCTTAAATCGATTTTTAGTATTTTGTTCGAGTATATTAAATCATTCAATTATGAAATATCTAAACAAAATAATGCAAATATATCATTTGGGGGAGGAGGAGGGATGCAATTCACTAATTAATTCGATCGCAATCACAGGCATACTATTCATATTCATAAGATTACTTTTAAGGTATGAATGTGTTAGCAAAGAAAATAATACTAAGCTGGAAGAATTACATACTTTAATTTTTAGCCTATGTTATGTCTTACTCAATCATTGAGTAAATATGTTTTGAAATTTATGGAAATAAAAATCTCGCTTGAGGATAAGAGAACAAAAATTATTCATATTTATTTGTATTGATTTTTTAAAAATTTCTTTTCATAATTTTCTCTGTTTGAGCGCTCGAGCTAACGAGAGTATTTCGGTTAAGTTTACTGGCCTTGGGAAAATTTAGCATACGTTTCATTGGGCTTTATAATTTTTTCTTTTAAGCAATTAAAAAACAAAAGAACTCTAAAACCATTGTAACATTAACACGTTAACGAAAGTTATACGAGAATTAAAAAGCGTTCAGTTTCTTTTTGATTATGTATACACCGATCTAAACTCATTTCATATCCATCAAAGGCATGTCAAATTAGACAAGGGCGGCGGAGCATTGTTGCGTGGGAGGGGGCGACAAAAGGGGCCTTGTATATAGGCTCTCACCGTATTTTTTTTATTTATTTATTTATTTTTTTTTTTTTTGGGGGGGAGCATAATTATAATTATAAGAGATTGGCATTCTGATTGATGTACTAGGTTTAATATTTAAGAAGGGTATATTGCAATTTCAATAAAAGTAGTTGACTGGCACCGGAAAAAAGCAACATCTCAAAAATAAGTAGATCTAGACTATATCCAAAAAAAAATTTGAAGTGAAAACTGTGACAGGGGATTTCTAAGTCTTGAATAAATAAAGACTGGGGCACTTGAACTTCGGAAAATGGGGACACTAGCTGTTGTGACCCTGCCCTCGATCCACATGATCACCCCCCCCCCCCCCACCTCTGAATAGAATATGCCTACAGGATGACATGGTAGGATACTAGGATTTTATAACCTGACATGATATCATAATAATTATTAATACTATTTATTAAAAATCTGAAAATAAATGTCTAGGCCTACATCTACATCGAAAAAAATGAAAAGAAAGGCTTATTTAAATAAAGTTCATGAAAACAAATGGTTGCAATGATAATATTTTAATTTGACTGATTTCCATATAACACTGAATAAAACAAAAACTATTTCTTTTATAACCATGGCACTCAAACAGGTAGCTTCGCGGTATTGAACTCCTGTGCCATACGTCGTCAGTGTACAATGCGACGCCATCACGGACACCATCTTGAAAGACCCCAAATCGTCCGATTCTGGCTGGCTAGAATGCATGAGGTCAAGTCAAAATTCCTTTGAATCTGATGAATTAATCTGGTCTGTGCTAAAATGTCTTCATGTGCTGCTACTAATTGTAAAAACCGTTCGGATCGAGCTGTTGTTCGTGGAAGGTCATTCCACAGGTAAGTTTTAAAACCAATTGATGGCAATGCTATGACAACATTCGAAATCCATGCTTCAGTCCCATACTATTACAAACCATGTTAGCGTGAATTAGAAAACCACCATTCGCTCAGCTCCGCTCGCGCTCCACATAAACACACACCGCAGCGCTTCATTGCGTGAGACACTTTAGTTAACTTTGGTGTTGAGGCCTGAAGCTTCAGCTCTATATGTGCCCCTCTTTACTGCATGGATTCGCGTTGGTATGGGTAGTATTTCAGCGGGTGGTGCTTCCAATGATTTGCAAGTTCCGACTTGTTGATGAGACATAAATTTAATGGCAATTTCAGGAAGGTTATTCCAGCAGAATCCAGCTATTTATCATCATGATAAATAGCTGGAATAACCTTCCTGAAATTGCCATTAAATTTATATTTATGCTCCACACTGAAAATGACATCTGCCTCCTCTTAGATTTGCAATGGGGCTCCCTTATTTTGAGCCTGTGTCCCCTTGTTCTGGATTCTTTGATGATTTCATTCTTCTCTACACATTGATCTCCTTCCCATCCCTATGATGAACTCTACACACACCTGCGTGTGCGTGCTGACGAGCAAGTGGTTTCCAAGACCATGATAAAGCAGACGTCTTAATCTATTCTTCTTGTTAATATACTTGATGCCCAACTTACCCAAGACCGTCGTAGACAAGAATAACACACATATTTGTTGAACGTGAACTCTGTTTCTACAATGTAATTTTTGTTGCTCTTCTTGCATATTTTTTAGTCAAGTTAGTTAGTGTAGACTGCACTGATGAGTCTAGATGACTAGATCTCTATCAACGATTGAGTGCGGTTAGAAACTTGGATAGAAAATGGAAAATTTTATTCCTACAAGGTCTAACAACAGTAAACGGTATGAACCTTGGAGTCGCACCCAATTTAGCGCTAAAAAGTACAAATTTTTCTCACACATCCTGCACAGCAAAATAAAATTCTCTTAGACTTAATATCTTCTTCTTACTCTTCCTCTTTCTCTTTCTCTTCCTCTTTTTCATCTTCTCTTCCTTCATCTTGTTTTTCCCTTCTTCTCCTCCTTTCTCCCTTCTTCTCCTCCTTTCTATATTTTTGTTCCCTTCATTTATTTCTTTGTATAACATACACAAACGCTTTCTTATTATTATCACCACAAAAAAATCTATAATTTTTTATCCTCATCATCACTACTATTCTTATTTCATGCAGGTGTAGATGCATTTAAAAAGTTCTCAGCACACATAATTTTTCACAACTTTCTTTTTTCAGACTACCCCTACGAGACCCTGCTTTGTTGAAGGTATGGCTTTCACAGATGGGGAGAGAGTCCTGGAAACCGAGACCGAGTTCTGCCATCTGCTCGGACCACTTTGAGAAGATCTGCTTTGATCGCACAGGACAAACCACAAGGATTCGCGAATCTGCAGTTCCCACGCTTTTCAACCTCCCACGAGTCCCTTTCAAACCAAAGGTAATTCATGGTTTATAGAAATGTCTTGTTATCATTCAGTCGCAGATACAGTATTTTCATGCCAGGAAATTGAGAGCAGAAGTCAGAACCTCTGATAAGTGGGAGTGTGTGTGTGAGAGAGAGAGAGAGAGAGAGGGGGGGGGGGGGAGGAGAGAGAGAGAGAGAGAAATTGAAATTGAAATTAAGTGCCTTTGTTCATTTGTTGACCAAAGTCCAAACAACTCTAGTCTGGGCTCTCTTAGAATCCTCTTCCCTACAAACAAAATGAAGAAATGAGGAGCACCATTCTTATTTAGTTTGTGCTACAGTTTGTTAAATAGTGTACCTGTATCGCGTTAATTTTTTTTATAGAATGATTTGTAAATTGGCAACAAACATACTTTTAACTTCATTAACCAACATTGATATTCCATTCTGAAAATTAACCTACAGTTATACTTACCGTATTTTTATTCGATTTTTACATAACTTGTTCTTGTAACTATTTAAACATACTTGTACTTGCTTATTTTTTACTTCGTAAAGCCCATAGAGAAACTTCTGTTTATTATATGCTCAATAAATCTATCTTTATTATTATTGTTATTAAGTGTAATAAGGTATAATTTATCTGACTAGCTTTAACATAATTTATATACTTAATAATATGTAGATCATTGCTATCAGGTAAGCAGCTGACTAACCTTAACATTGTTAAATTGTAGTAAGGTTTGAACACACTTGTTAAATGGCTTAAGATTATTTACTTCTTTAATCAGCCAAATCTCATTAATGTATTAGGGTTTCAAATCACAATTTGTATTAACCTTTGACAAAATATAAATGAAAGGTTGACCAAAATGTATTGATAGTTAGATACCTGTATCTGTCTGAATGACTAACTTTATACATTTTTCTTCTAATCTTTCACTTTCTCAGAAAACAAAAACAACAAAACAGAAAAAGGAGATCGTCATCAAATTTCCTCCCAAGAAGTTAAGAAGTGGGAAGCAACTGGCTGCTCCTGCACCAGGTGTCCGAGCTGGTTCACCACACGATCACGACTACCTTGGAAAAGGCGGTTTCCTGAATCAAGAACAATTGAAGAGTCAAAGTCAACATGGAGATATGAATGATCCTCTTAAGAAGTTAAGAAGTGGGAAGCAACTGGCTGCTCCTGCACCGGTGTTCGAGCTGGTTCATCACATGATCATGACTACCTTGGAAAAGGAGGCTCCCTTAATAAAAAAACAGGCAGACCCGGCCGTGGAAAACAGCTTGCAGATGTGGACAGTCGGACAGATGCATCGAGTGATCGGCAAAGCAGCGACCAAGATCTTTTAATATGTGAGGAACCCATTGCAGGCAATGCTGAAGGACAGCTTCCAGTTTCAGAGAGTCAAGCAAATGCCTTGATTAATCTCAAAAACCCTAAACAAGATGGTATCTTGAAGGAAGACAAAACAAAAGTGAACAAGGAAAAGCAACTCCCAGATAAAGACAGTCAGATAAGAACATTGCCTGACGGGAATAGCTATATCAAGGATGGTTTCTTCTATCGTGGTAAACCCTCCCGATAAGTGACATCAGTAGAAACGAAAGAAAAAGGATAAACAGAATCAAACAGCACGATCACTCATACAGCGTTGGAGATAATCATGTGGTTTTGAAGCACAGGATGGATGTCGCCTGCACCAAGTTGGCTGAAATCAGGGCTAAGTTTAAATGTCACCATCAAAAGAACAGAAGGCTCTCAGTAAAGATTAAGGCTTTGACGAGGAAAGTGCAGGAGCTAAGGGACGGACAGTTTGCAATTAACAATACTTTGAAGTTTCTAGAGTCTCTGGAGTATAGGCCCAACTTCGGCACATGATTTCAAGCCTGATTTCTTACTTTTCTTGAAATTTGTTATTTTGTGTCATGAAATTAATTCACCATATATAGTATACTGCATCTCTGTCAAAATAGGTTTTTAGTTATCAAGAACAAGACAAAGTGTTTTGTTAAGTTTTAGCTACAGAATGTTTCCTTTCTTGCAGGGAACATTTGACACATGACCATAAAATATTTTTTAAATATTGTTAGAAAGGATATCCAAATACCTGAAGTTAAAAACATGCTGTCCTAAGCATTTTTTATATTATTTAAAAAAACTGTTTGAATGGAAATGAGCCCTTAATCTTGACATGTATTCGAATATAATAAAATCATTTTTCTACATCTAAATCTTATCTAAATTACTCTCATATTTCATTGGGAACCTACATTTTTGAAATGGTTCAATTGTTATTTTGGATGTTATGGGTTTAATCATTGTCATATCTATATTTTTGAAAACTTCCAATATAGTTAATATTATCATCAAAGTTTTTTTTCTTTTCTAAATGTATGTCTTCTTCAAGTTTTGCCCTTATGAGTTCATTATGATAGACTCTACACGTTTACAGAGCTATTATTTTATAATCCATTTTTGCATACGGTCAGTTTGCACTAAATACCTAAGAAAACGATACTCTTTGTAATCCTATTATCCATAACATTATTTTGTCTCTTGTAAATTCTTATACTTAAAGTGTTAGCTAATTTCTAAGACTTTTTCCCTTTTGAAAGACTACCGTAAAGCTATTTTTCTATGTGATTTGCAAGGACTGTTTATGAACAACCATTCATGAATCATTCTTGTTTAGGAATTGATAAACTTTCCATCTGACTGTTCAATGAAATATTTTGGCTGATATTCGACACGTCTTCTGTATTATCTCTCTTATTTACCTCTCCTTTCTAGATCTCTTTCTCTATATTTCAATTTTTTCTCGATTATCATTAACAAAAAATGATTTCCCCATTTTTGATTTTTGATTTCGTTTTCTCTCCCTTTCTCTTCTCATTTTTTTCATTCTAGCTTATACACCCTCTCTGTGTTACAGCTTTCCGTGTTACCAAATGTTTGTGTCTATGATTACCTGTTTATTCTTATTTAATAAAAGTAGAGTGAAGCTCCATATTCATGACACTTTATATAAAATGTAGCTCTCAATATTTCAATGTGAACGATTGTAATTTGCCCATGCTTTTGTTGTTGTTGTTTCTCATTGAAATGAAATGATAAAATATGTGAAAATTGTCATTACATATCACAAGGGACATGTCAAAAAATTGTTGCAAATTGTATTTGATATAAAAATAATTTGCTAATTTAAGATTATTCTAATTTTTAGATGATAATGCAAACTCGGACGGAAAAGATAACTTTGGACTACTTGGTAACAACATCAACCAATTAATTGTCATCGGCTGTTGACTTTACTTGCTAGTGGTGATTTTGTCCCATTTCAGTCATCAAATATTTGACTCGACTAGCCAAGACGTAGAGTTGCGAGGGCGTTTAACAAATACAAATATCTAATCATTGGAACCTCATTTTCATGACGTCAAGCTACTGTTATCATTCGGTTGTTGGGTTTACTATGGGTCGTAACCAATTGCAAAGTCTTAACTTAGCCTTAATCAACTTTGTTGATACAATGTATCCGTGTAAGAATTTTGATTTTCAAAATGATTCCTTTCGTTTTAAATGAAGTCCAATAACGTATCAAGACATAAACATAAACACAATGGCCCGAATTCACAAAGGAGGTTTGTCGACAAACCTTGGTTTTCGTACGTCATATGACTCGTTTTACGCGTTTTTTACAAACTTGGTTTGTAAAGAACAAAAGGAGGTTTGGCGAAACAAAAGGAGGTTTGAGCTCGAACCTTGCTTTGTGAATTCGGGCCATTGTGATCGGAAGAGTGTATGCAACCCCCTTTTTTCCAGGCGTATGACATTTTTTTGAAACTTAAGGAAATATTTTTGGTCGCGGTATGTCTTCAAAATGCCTCAAATTTCCTCAGAACAGGGGGGGGGGGGCATACTGGTAGCCTGTCTTTAAAAAAGCATGTCTTATGTCTTATTTTCATGGAAAAACGGTTGGTTGGCAAAATTAAAAAATGATTGGGAGAATTTACTGTAAGAGGGTGTTGCACATGCAGTGACGCCTCCAAAGAAAACCATAAATATCTTTGTGATTTGAGAATTGTTCATGATTTTTTGCATGTTAGAGGGTTGTAGAAGGAATATAATAAGTAACATTTCATACGCGGTTTTTTCATCAACCTTTGACAATGTTGCCGAGTGACTTTAACTCTGTACACCCGTTGCAAGTTGTATCGATTAGTGCCTTCAAATGGGAGGGGTGGCAGCATAGTAGGTTCCTGTTATATTGGACACGGTACAACTACAAGGGCATTGTCCGAGATCGCTTTCCGAGATGGAGCGAACGATCGGGGTTGGCCTGGGAGGGGGGTCATAACCCCCTCCCAGAGTAGGAAGCATTTGCAATTTTAGAACCACATTAGGCGCATTTTCAGGCACTTCCTGGAGTAATATGATGTAAAATGGCTTTTTACTACCCCCTCCAAGAGTAGGGATCTTTTGCAGTTTGAGAACCACATTTGGCGCATTAATGTCCACCGGCACTTCCTGAAAAAGAACGAGGCCTTCTGATTAGTTAAAAGTTAGAGAAAAGTGATCTGTCACGTCGCGAGACGTTGTATATGCTTCGTTGCTGCACAATGTATCAAGACGGTGGTCTGGTATTTCACCAGTTCCGTCATCAGTAGTACTTGCAAAAATTATCTCGAGTGTATAAACTGTGTTGTTATCAGGGGCGTCGCTAGACCTTTTTCAGTGTGGGGAGGGGGGGGGGGTTGTAGAGGCCACCTATTAACGACAAAACTAGTCACCAATTACCGACAAATATATTAATGTCAATGTCCCAATGTCTACAAATTTAACCCTATGAACCAGGGCCCAGGAACTAAGTTATTTTCCAGTTTCCCCCTCCCGCGCGAAGCGCTTAAGCTCTGACACTTCATTAAATTATTAGAGAAAGAAGACGATTTGTTGTACCGTTCTCGACTCTAATCCTTGTCTGAATTCAGCCCCCCCCCCCCTCCATCGCAAAGCGCGGAAGTTTTAACGTTACTTATTAGAGAAAGAAGACGAAAATTTGTTGTACCGTTCTCGACTCTTATCCTTGTCTGAATTCTGTCCCCCCCCCCCCCCCCCCCCCCCCTATCGCGCGAAGCGCGGAAGTTTTGACGTTTCATATGATTATTAAAGAAAGAAGACGATTCGATGTAACGAATCTTAATTATTGTCTGAATTTTCAAAAATGTTTCCTTGTCCGATAAAAGTCACAGTTCGTAGAGGAAAAAAATTGCCGGCCGACCGACATAAAACATCTTACCGACTTCAAACTTCTGCATTGCTCCCTCGACGTGGTGACTCCACCCAACATCCCCGCTCTCTCTTACTCCCACCCCTATTCTCTCAGGCTCTTACCCCCCTCTCTCTCCTCTCTTTCATCCCCCGTTTCTTTTGTTTCCTTTTACTCTTCTTTTTTTCCTTTTCTCCTGTTCTCCCTTTTCTTTCTTTTCCTTTCTTTCCTCTACTTCCTCTTTTCTCTTCTCTTTCCTTTCCTTTCCTTTTTTCTTTTCTCTCCCTTTCGCTCTCATTTCCCCTCCCCCTTTTCTCATTTTCCCGACAGCAGCGTAAGTTTACCGACAATATACTGACAGGTGGGGGGGGGGGTGTCCTACCCCACACCCCCTTTAGCGACGCCCCTAGTTGTTTTTCCATTATTATTTCACAATACATTTCCTCATGCTCTCGCACCTCTCTTCTATTATTGTTTAATTCTCATTTATTTTTTCCTTTCTCCTTTAACTCACAAAAATGCTCTCTTTTCCCCCTTTTTTCCATCTCTTTTTTTGTTTTTTTGTTCTTCGTGTCCTTTTTTTTGGGGGGGGGGGGGGGGTGCTACATGCCGAGCAAGAGGGATCCCATATTATGCACACTGCAAATTTGGGCGCCCCCGCCCCTTTCCCGGTCCAAAAACACTAATATTATACCACCCCCTTTCTTTCTTTTCCCTTCTCATTATTCTCCTTTTCCCCCTTTTCTCTCCTCCGTCTTTCCCCCTTTCTTCCCTTTCCGCCTTTTCTCTCTCCCCCTTTCTTCCTTTCCCCTCCTTTTTCTCCTCTCCCCTTTTCTCTCCTCCCTCTTTCTTCTTCTTTCTCTCTTCTCTTTTCTTTCCTTTCCCCTCCTTTTTCTCCCTTTCTCATTTTTTTTTCCCCCTTCCCCCTTTCCCTCTTTTTTTTTTACCGGGGGGGGGGGGGGGCACGTGCCCCCTGTGTCCGTATGAATCCGCCACTGAAGTAGATCATCATCTAGACTATATAAAATACTATTTTTTTAGTGAAAACTCTGACAGGGGATTTCTAAGTCTTGAATAAAAAAAGACTGGGGCACTTGAACTACGGGAAATAGGGGCACTGTTGCGACACTGTCCTCGATCCACATGATCACCTCTCCCCCCCCCCCATAACCTTTCACTTCGCCAATGACAAAGGTCAATGTAAATCTTTATCTCACACACCGGGCAAGTATTACATCAGAATCACGGAAACGTAGAGCAGCAGAGGACACTAGCAGAAGTTAGTGTCCCTTTATAGAAAGGGACACTAGCAGAAGTGAGAGCAAGACGCCCTCACACACAGCCTGGCGGAAATCATCGGAATCGAAGGATAGCGCCAACGAATTTCACCGTAAGTACCGGAAGTAGAAGGATTTCCGAGTCCGCTGAATGGCACCGCCGTGCGCCATCTTGGATAGTACTAGCGTTGTGAAAGACTTCGCGTGCTATGTGTGAGCTCAACTCTTATCTGCAAAATGCCATTTTGTGCAGCTTTCAACTGCACCAATCGCCTTAAAAAAGGCTCTGGAATAACCTTTCATAGGTAAGTGATCACTTCATTAAAAACATGGCAAAAATAAACAGTTTTGCATGATATCTGAACGCAGAAGCCACAGTATGACTTAGCGTGTATTTGTACATTGGTCCCATCTATTCATTTCCATGTTTGTGAACTCTTTTCGCTCGAGCTCAATGACATCGGCTATGAACTATCAAAAATATTGAATTCCACAGAGCTGCAAAGTTTTATAAACCGATAATATCGAATACATGATATCCAGAAAATGCTGTACTGTTTTTTTCGGGGGGATTTCATTCGGGCATAAGCAGCTAGCAGGTCACTTTCTTTGTGAAACTTGGTTTAAGAAGATTCTTCTTCTTCTTCCAGTATGTATAGAACAGTCCGCCGTTGGTGATTTATCGTACCTTGTGCTTGTCAAGTGCCAAGTGTACAGTGCAAGTAAAAACGCTCTACAAGAATTCTATGTGCAGCTAAAAACAGTCTGAAGCTCAATGGAGCTTAATCATGTGTTGCACTTTCTGCTTAACTTGAACATGTTGCATCGCGCTAGTATTAATAGTGACACAATTTGCTGTGAGTCGTCAAACTTTCAAGCATTATTGTAAGAAATTTACTGTAATTTACTCAAAATTTACACCTTAATTTTGGACATTTAAATTGTTGTAAAATACAAGAAATTTTACTCATCAAAGTTGGTAATTAAAAGAAAAAAATGCACACCTGCCAGACAACTCGCCCTGGTTAGCAATGTCGCCTTTGTGTGTTGCCGCCAGTGCCGATGTATTCCCACGTTTATGCACACATGTCCCTATGAGGTCAATACTGTTTATGTTTTGACTCCATAGGAGTGGTGTACTAGGAGTGGTGTGAACATGGTAAAACTTGAATTTGTTGAAACTGGAAGTGAACCTCTGACCTAATGAAACTTTTCAGTGACAATCCATAGACACAAAAATTTGCTTGGATCATGTTCTCATGCGGAAGCGCTCCAAATCCGTATTCAATTTTGAGAGTCATTTTGCCAGGAAGGGGTACCTACCTAAATATTGTGCATATATTTTTATTTTGAATGTGTGCTGTAGTGTCAAAATGGGCAAAAATATCTAAGCTGGACAATAAACTTACAAAACCATTCTCCATGTGTTGAGATTTTGTTGCTAAAACCATATCCCATTTTAATTAATATTTATCGGTTTAATTTTGTTTCCTTCATTCATTTCAATTATAGGTTTCCCAAATCTGGTTCAGCCCTTCTGAAAGAATGGCTCGTCAAGATGAGAAGGGACAAGTGGATACCCAATAAGTATTCAACCATGTGCTCCATCCATTTTGAAGAAGTTTGTTTCGACCGCACTGGACAAACAACCAGACTCCGTGAAGGTTCTATTCCGACCATTTTTAACTTTTCTGCACATCTCAAAGAGGTAAGCAGGAACACATAATTTTTATTCATGTGGTATCTACTATGATTATTGATTGTTGAACATCAAATATGCCCCATACATTATGTTTTAAAGTGGGGGGGGGGGGGGCACCAAGAAAAAATGGCACCTACAAAGGGAAATCTCAAAGCGAAAATATATAATTTTTTAGACATTGGTGTATACCCCTACATTGTAATTACAATACTCAGGGTTGATTTCAATATTTGTATCACTTTATACGCCATACAAGATATTGCTTAAGCATCATGCTTTGCAAATGGGTTTGATTGTCTAAAAATTGATTGCGAGCGAAGCGAGCAAGGACAATTTTTAAGATGTGGTAGGTCACATCGCGAAAAATTACATCTTAGGAAAAAACCCAATCCTAATGGAGTTATAAGCACATTCTTATAACGGAAGACTTATAGACCTTTGATAAGTAACATAATATATCATCTATAGATGGATGCGAGGGTAGCGAGCGAGCTTTGGGCGAAATTGCTCTTAGTCACTTGAAATTACCTAGGGGCGTTTAATGATGAGAGGAAAAGGGGACATTTATCAGGAAAGAAAAGGAGCATGTGCCAAAGTACAAAGAGTAATTATCAGAGGTGAAAATGGGGTACTTCTTACACCCTCAAAAGGATGCACTCACCAGGGATGAAAAAGTCAGTCATGGGAATAGGAAATGGGCATTTGTCAACGGAAAAGGGGCCCCATCAGATCTTGATAGATTATGAAAAAGGGATAGGTCCCTCATTAGAAAGGAAAAGGGGTACGTACAGTATCATTCTTAAAAGGAAAAGTATCAGTGGTGAAAAGAGGCACTTTTCGCACATGGAAGATGTGCATTAGTTGAAAGAAAATGGGCACCGATCAGATTTTAAAGGGGCATTTATCGGAGGGGAAGGGGGCACTTATCTAAAGTGAAAAGGAGTAACTTCTGGTACCTGAAAAGGGTCATTTACCAGAGAAGGGGCACTTATGAGAAGGGGAAGGGGCTCCTTTTTAATGGGGCACTCATCATTAGGAAAAGGGGCACTTATTAGAAAGGAAAAAGGGCACATGTGTAAATATAAGGTGCACTTATCCGAGTTAACATGGGGGAGGGGCACTTCTTACAAAGGAAAAGGGGCAATTTTCAAAGTAAAAGAGGCACCTCTCAGATTTAAATAGGAGAATTATCAGAGGTAAAGGGTGCACTTATCAAAAGTGAAAAGAGGCACTTCTCATACCTAACTAGGGGCACTTACTAGAGATTAAACAGGGCACTAATGAGAACGGAAAATGGACACTTATTGCAAAGGAAACTGGGAACTTATCGAAAGAAAAAAGGGGGTTGTGTCCAAACAAAAAAGGGTACTTATTAGAGTCGAAAAGGGGAAGGGGCACTTTTACAAATTAATAGAGGCACTTGTCAAAGTAAAAGGGGCACTATTCCTATGTAAAAAGGGGCACTTCTTAAAAAGTAAAAGGGGCACTTTTCGGGTGCTTGAGGGCTTGAGGGCCGGGAGGGCCGCCTCTGCCAACATTGATATTCCATTTTGGAAATTAACCTACAATTATACTTATTTTAATTCCATTTTTACATTGCATTAAGTAACACCTAACAAGATATGATTTATCTGACTAGCTTTAACATAATTTATATACCTATCAAGTTAATGGCATATCCTGATCATTGCTATCAGGTAAGCATCTGACTAGCTTTAACATTGTTAAATTGCTTAAGATCATTTACTTCTTAAACCAGCCAAATCTCATTAATGTATAAGGGTTTCAAATCACAATTTGAAAAAATATGAATGAAAAGTTTACCAAAATGTATGGATAGTTAGATACACTGTACCTGTATCTGTCTACTTTTTTTCTTCTAATCTTTCACTTTCTCAGAAACAAAAACAAAAAAACCAGGCAGAGTCAGCCATAGAAAACAGCTTGCAGATGTGGACAGTCGGACAGATGCATCGAGTGATCGGCAAAGCAGCGACCAAGAACTTTTAATAAATGAAGAACCTGTTGCAGGCAATATTGAAAGACAGTTTCCAAATTCAGAGAGTCAAGTAAATGCCTTGAATAATATCAGAAACTGTAAACAAGATGGTATCTTGAAGGAAGACAAAACAAAAGTGAACAAGGAAAAGCAACTCCCAGATAAAGATAGTCGGATAAGAACATTGCTTGAAGGGCATAGCTTTATCGAGGATGGTTTCTTCTATCACGCTAAACCCTCCCCGATTAGTGACATCAGTAGAAACGAAAGAAAAAGGATAAACAGAATCAAACAGCACGATCACTCATACAGCATTAGAGATAATCCTGTGGTTTTGAAGCACAGGATGGATGTCGCCTGCACCAAGATGGCTGAAATCAGGGCTAAGTTGAAAAATCACTATAAAAAGAACAGAAGGCTGTCTGTAAAGATTAAGGTTTTGACGAGAGAAGTGCAGGAGCTAAGGGATGGACAGTTTGCAATTAACAATACTTTGAAGTTTCTGGAGTCTCTGGAGTATAGGCCCGACTTCGGCACATGATTTCTAGCCTGATTTTTTACTTTTTCTTGAAATTTGTTTATTTTGTGTCATGAAATTAATTCACCAAATATAGCATACTGCATCTCTTTCAAAATAGGTTTTTAGTTATCAAGAACAAGACAAAGTGTTTTGTTAAGTTTTAGCTACAGAATGTTTTCTTTCTTGCAGGGAACATTTGACACATGACCATAAAATATCTTTTTAATATTATTAGAAGGTGTATCCAAATACCTAAAGTTAAAAACATGCTGTCCTAAGCATTTTTTATAGAAATTAAAAAAACTGTTTGAATGGAGATGAGCCCTTAATCTTACCATGTATTCAAATATACATCAAATCATTTTTCTACATCTAAATCTTATCTAAATTTTTAACTCTCATACTTCATTGGGAACCTACAATTTTTAAATGGTTCAATTTTTATTTTGGATGTTATGTATGATTTAATCATTGTCCTATCAATATTTTTGAAAACTACCAATGTATTTAGTTAATATTATTATTTCATTTTTTGTCTTAAGGTATCATCATAGATTCCCCCCTAAATGTACAGTATAACTGCCACTTAAATGAGGGTACCAACGTAAAACGAATGATGTTGATTGAATATGAACGATGTTTTAATTATTCTCCGACAGTGCTGTGAAACTGTAGACAAACAATGCACAGAATACAATAACATCAATTAATCAGATCAAAGTAGGATCTATGAAATAGTCTATACTTATGTCCAGCCAACGAGGTGAGTCAGGACAGAGAAAGTTTCAAAGAATTATTTAATCATAAAGTTACAATGTTTAGTTTTAAGAGTCAAGAGATATATTATTGTTAAATTGTCTAACTACTCGGTCAAGTCAATGTCAGGAAGTTGAGATGTAGAATTTACATTTGTTATTATACGCAGTATAATATATTAGTAGATATTTTTAATTCATTAGGCTTTTGACTTGTGTTTCGATAAGAGGTACTTCGTTCGGTTTGCCCTCTTCTTTGATCTACCTAAAGTGATAATGTCCAGCCAATGAGGTGAGCTGGCGGCAGCCACATACGGTACTTCTTCTTTGAAGAGTTTTGCCCTTATAAGTTCATTATGATAGACTCTACACATTTGCAGAGCTATTATTTTATAGTCCATTTTTACATACCTCAGTTTGCACTTAATACCAAAGAAAACGATACCCTTTGTAATTGTATTATCCATAAAATTATTTCTTTCTTGTGAATTCTTATAATTAAAGTATTACTAAGACTTAACTTCTTTTTCTCTTTTGAAAGACTACCGTAAAGCTATTTTTCTAAGTGTTTTGCAAGGACTGTTTATGAACTACATGTAGTACTATTCATGAATCATTCTTGTTTGGGAATTGATAAACTTTCCATCTGACTGTTCAGTGAAATATTTTGGCTGATATTCGACACCATTCTGTATTATCTCTCTTATTAACCTCTCCTTTCTAGATCTCTTTCTCTATATTTCATTTTTTTCTTCTTGATTATCATTTAAAATGTCCCCATTTTTAATTCTTTTTATTTCGTTTTCTCTCCCTTTCTCTTCTCATTTTTTTCATTCTAGCTTATACACCCTCTCTGTTTTTCTTTCACTCACTTTCTCTTTATTCCTTTTCATTGTTTTCTCTTTTTCAACACCCTACCTCAGCCGGCTTTTAGTGTTACCAAATGTTTGTGTATATGATTACCTGCTTATTCTTATCTAATAAAACTAGAGTGAAGCTCCATATTCATGACACGTTATATTAATGTAGCTCTCTTTATTTCAATATGAATGATCGTAATTAGTCCGTGCTTTTGTTGTTTCTCATTGAATGATAGAATATATGAACAGTCATTGTCATTACACAACACAAGGGACATGTAAACAAAAAATGGTTATGAATGGTATACAAATTTGCTAATTTAAGAAATGTAGAAGATAATGCAAATTTAAACGGAAATGATAACTTTGGACTGCTTGGTAACAACAACAACCAATTAATTGTCATCTGTTGTTGACTTTACTTGCCAGTGGTGATTTCGTTCCATTTCAGTCATCAAATATTTGACTCGGCTAGCCAAGACGTAGATTTGCGAGGGCGTTTAACAAATACAATTATCTGAAGAACTACATTTGTTGACGTCAATTTATCGTTATCCTTCGGTTGTTGGGCCCACTGTGAGTCGTAACCAATGGCAAAGTCTTAACTTAGCCTTAATCAACTTTGTTGATATATTGTATCTGTGTAAGAATTGTGATTTTCAAAATGATTCCTTTCATTTAGAATGAAGTTCAATAACGTATCAACTATCAAGCCAGAAACAAAAACATATTGTGATCGGAAGAGTGTATCCACCCCCTTTCGTTTCCAGGCGTTGGACATTTTTTGAAACTTTAGGAAATATATTTTAGTTTAAATTAGTTTGGTGTAGCAGTAGCAGAAAACAAACTGTCACATTTTCTTGTAATAACAACTCATTTCTTTATATAGAAAACTTAGACAATCATGAGAAGTATACCTTTCCTCTAATATTTGTAGATGTTTCATTGAATGCGAGGGACGTTTAAGAAACCATTAACGTCATCAACTAATTGTCAAGGGCACATATTTCTAGGGTACCGTAAAAAACAACCAACAACTACATTTGTTGATCCTTTATTTACAAAAGCACCAAGAAACATTCCACTTAGGTGCACTAATATTGACAAGATCTTCTCGATCTCCCGGACAACTCAGAGCAGTAGCTGTTTCTCTGCAATTTATTCCAAGATAAACCGGTAATTATCTAGTTAGTACAATGTCAAGACAAACATACTATTTATGCTACCGAGACTAGTTGGTATATCTTACTGACACTGGTATTAAAAGGTTATAGATAGCTAGAGAGCTCGGGATTTAGACGCATTTTCAAGTCTGGTAGTGGAAAGGAAAGAGGTAAGTATTTACAGTGATTCTTTTCATTATGATCATTCATCCATTGCTTCCTTTATTCATTCATTCAACAATAATTTTATTATGGGCACTTAAAATTGGCTGAATCAGTAATGTCAATGTGACGTAGTGCCGGACAACTTTCCATTTGTTTCAACAAACAAAATAACTAAAATGTCAATTTTCCGAAAGGTTTGACGCAGTGAGTCTCTTCTTTTCAGAGGCCCTATATTAATATCCATAATATATTTTGAGAAGTGCCCCAAGGGAGAAGGCAGTTTTTAACGATATTTTTGTAGACGACAAACGGGAGAGTTGTCCATGTAGACGTCAAAATCCTCGACAAAATCGCCAAGTTGAGATACAAATTAAATGATCTCATTTCAAACATTAAAAACTCTCTTATAATAGGTTCGATTTACTTAAAAATTTCGCCATTCGGTTCCTCTTCTTTTTTTTGTTTTCATATACTAATGAACTTCTTATCAGAATTTGATAGCCCTTAAACTGTTTTATATTTTTCTCTTGGCAGTAAAACATGACGAGACTGAACATCTTAGCTTTGAGCCTCTTCGCGTTCATCTCTGTATCTACAGCATGTAAGTCATATGATCGTCTTTAAAGCCATTTTCTAAAATCAACTGAATGCGTTATGGACTGAATAAAAGATTTACGGATAAGTATAGAGCAAAATTAATATCATTTTCAATAGTATTACACAAAGAGGACGCAACAATATTATATTTTAACACACTAAAATTCTTATTTCACTTTAAATTTTCCGATCAGATATGCATTTTCCCAACAATATGAGGTTGATTTACACACAATGTAAGACCGCAAAACATCTGTATATAAAATAACTTTTACAGTTGATTAGGGTAAAGATGAGGTGCATTTTTGTTTACATGTTTTATGTAAACGAGCAGTAAGTTCAATTTATTTATTGAGAATTACAATTAGACACTTTTTCTTACAGGTTGGACCGTTGGAGGCATTTTTTGGTTTGATTACATGATCATGAATGTGATGACAAGAAACCTAGGCCTAATCTGCACTTAATCATCGACTTTGAGAGTTTTTTCGTTTTTTTCATTTTCTTCCACTTTAAACAAAAACCAAAAGAAAACGAACAAAGTCACATAACAAACAGGAGGTGGAAAATAAAATTAATTCATGGTTTTGATCTGGCTACTTTTGAGGAATAAAGGTATAACCTTACATGCATGCGTTGGTAGAAGAAGTAACAATTTTTAACCAGGGAGCATTCCAGATTCGTTTAACAGCGGTAAACAGTTACCTGTTTTTATCATATTTAATTAACCTTCAGGACAGCACATTGTTGAATAATTTGGTTGTCAGAAATATCTTCTAATCACCCTCATACAATCTCTCTCTCTCTCTCTCTCTCTCTCTCTCTCTCTCTCTCTCTCTTTCCCTCTAATTATGTCTGTATCCATCTGTATTTCTTTCTCTATTTCTGTATATCTCACCAAGTACGTTTCAATAGGCTATCTGTCTTTCTCTAATTTGTTTCGCTCGCCGACTGTCACGTCCCCTCCCTCTTCCCCCTCCCGCTTTTGTTTAGTCTTAAGTTCTTTCTTTCGTTCTTCTTCTTCTACTTTATTCCCTTATATCCTTCTTTGTTTCTTTTACTTTTTTGTATAACGGTAAAAATGTATTCTGGCATTTACAGTTTAATTTTTTTCAGGTGGGTAATAATTTTTTTCTTCTTTTCACACAACCGTGGAGACTGGTTGTTGGTGAAATACCAACTCATCTATTCATTCGCTGTTTTATCTTGGGATGTACTATTCTTCTCTTAGATGTGACATGTCCTGATGACTGGACGAGACATGGGTTCTCCTGCTACTATTTCCGATCGTGTGACGTAACGTGGGATGATGGTGAACGAGAGTGCCTGGCTCTTGGTGGCCATCTTGTTTCTATCGATACCAGGGCCGAGATGGCCTTTGTCGAGAATCTAGTAGCTGGAGAGAAAGGACCGGTGAGTTAATTTACAATAACAGAACACGTCATAAACTATGATTTAAAAAAAAAATACATTAAAAAAAAAATCTTTCACTTAAATGTCGAAAGATTGTCTTTTTTGCCATTCCGTTGCTTGATTACAAAAATCAATTAAAACTGAACTCGTACTTGCCAGGTGCTCAGAAAGAATCAGATGTAACTGTTATGTTTCAAATTTACACCAAAAAACAACTAAACAAACAAACAGTAGAATTAAAAAATGGGAGGGGCCCACCACCACTCTCCTCAAACATTCACAATAAATGAAATCTCAACATGCTTAACCCATAAAATTTGCATCCATTTAGTTTCTTAATCCTTGCATTCCTTAACCCATCTTTTGACACCGAAGTAACGAGAATAGGGCTTATCGTTATGGAGTCACGGATATTTTATTTAACTGTATATTCCTCGGAATGACATCTCTTGCCCAAATATCAATTTTCTTGTTTCTACAATTTGCGAGCGAACAAGAAATTTATCGTAGTGAAAATTTAAATTCCAACACTTAAAATATAAGTTTCCCAATCACGATGCGCCGAAAAGTAAGGTAATGATTGATTCATATTGTTATAAATAAGCCTAAATTTTCCAGAATTTTCGGTGACTGTATCCCCAAAGCCCCCGTTTCTTACGCCCATTACCTCATCCCATTCTTCACTAAATTTGTGTTGGGTAAGCTATAGTATAAGTGCTAACTTCGTCATGATTTGGCATTCCATTTTTACAAGTCTTAACTTGAAACTTATTTAGATTTCTTCTTTTGTACCCGATTATATAAATATTGACGAAATCCAAAACTGTGGATTTAGTTTCAATAAATTGATTGGATTTGTTTATATTTATTCCTTTCATTTCTTTTTGTCTTCTTCAAGTTCTGGATCGGTCTGAACGACAAGTACCGTGAGGGTCAGTGGTTCTTCACAGACATGAGGCGTCTTCGTCCCGAGCTGGGGCCTCTCTGGGGTGCACACGAGCCCAACAACAATGGTGATGAGGATTGTGTCATGTTTCCTCATGGCGCCGATAAGAAGTGGAACGACGCCAAGTGTGATAGCAAGTACAGCTTCATCTGCGAGATTGAAAAATTCGGTGAGACACAAAATGAGGATCGTCATGACAATTGACAACTTGATGGATCTTCGGATCGGTTTATAATTTTTATAAATTTTATAAATTCTGTGTTCAAGATTTCCAGAATATAGAATTGAAAATATGGACAAATGTAGATTCAACTTTTTTTCGTAGGGTTTTACTACAACAGAAAATATTTCTTTGTAAATTGTTAAATTTTTGATCTGTTACCGCATCGATAAATATTTTTCTTAGGGGGAGCGCCTTTAAAAATTTTCGATACTTTTTTCATTTTGGTCGAAATCCTCGAATTCTCATTTTCAGTAGCATAACATGAGTTCAGTCATTTAAGAGGCACCAGAGTCATTGGTCGAGGGTGGGCGGGGGGGGGGCGCACCGATCGACCTACATTTAGTAAGATTAATACAAATCAAGCGGATTGAGTAGGGAAGGGCGTGGAAGGACGTTATGTCTCTTTTCTTTTTCCCCTTTAATTCCTTTAATCAGCGAAAAGCCATGCAAATGCTATCTCCTTTTCTAATTTATGTCGACCATAGGTTGCCCCGACGGTTGGGGAGAGTACGGGGACTCCTGCTACCACCAGGTCGTAACACCAAAGGTCAACCAGTTCGACGCCCAGACCCACTGCCAGTCCATCCATCAAGACTGCAGTCTGGTCAAGATCGACAACCACGACGAACAGGCTTTCCTAGAGAGCTTCTTTGGAGAGAGCTGTGCCGACTGGATTGGTCTCCTGGGAGAGGTAAGGATGTTACACATTGAAATTTCTAGGGGTTGGACAGAGGTGGCTACGCCATTTGGTAAAAACAAATCGCCTCTTTTGATCGAGCTGAGGAGGATTGAGGGGACTTTTAAAAATCGTTATTCGAAGAAGATGATTATCATGTTTAAAAAAAGGTATTGTTATTTCTGTTCCACGTTTCTGATAATCTTAGTACTTCCCTTATAAAAATGAGGCGTCAGAATTTGTTAATGGTGACGAGTATCAGCTTTCCTCAAGAGGGCTTCCCGCGGAACACACCTTTAAAATAATATCCCGAGGAGAGAAATAATTTTTCGGTGAATATCCTGATGAAAATTTATTCAGCTATTACAGGGAAAACATTTTAAAAGAGTATATTACAGACTATCTAACAATCAGGTGGCTATGAAAGTCAAACTCGGCTACTCTTAAGGGGCTGGGCTCCATTAATAATAGTTTTAAATTTACACATTTTATAAATACTTCTATACATGGATTTTGTATATTTCTGCGACATTGTAATTTCAGCTTTGACAATAAAAAGTCCGATATTCAAATTTTCAGGTAAACGCAAACGCAAACTCAAACGCGAACGGCGTCTCTGCCTCACACCATCATGATCACGACGACGCCAACGGCGGCAACGACGGAGGAAACAGTGGTGGAAGCGGCGAATTCTTAACTCGCGATTATTTCTTCACCGATGGCCAGCCGATGGTGCACGACTTCTGGAAGTCGAACGAACCCAACTTCGACAAGGACAATGACCGCGTGTGTGCGATTCAGAAGAACACTCTGGGATGGAATGATTACGGTTGCGGTAACGAGATGAGCTACATTTGCGAGTTAAAGAAACCAAGCTTCTAAGAAATGCTTGTTAAGTGTTAAGTCTGCCCTCTGAAAGTACAGGAAGGGAAATGCATTCTTTTAGAAGTCATTCTAAAGAGGGGGTCATTTCGTTTCGGGTGGGAATTCACGCTAATAATAATAATTGAATACACTCTCAAAAGAGTAATTAAACCACTCCTTTGGAATTGATTCCACTCTAAGTTAGAGTGTTTTCAACTCCTGAACAAAGTTATCCCTAGTATGACTTCTGGATTTCCACTTTTCTGCTGTCAGAGAGTGGGTTTTTAGCACTGATTTCATATATTTGATTTTAATTTAAGAGATGCTGAGAGTAAATTATGCTAAAGAGCATTAACGAAACAAAATATCAACTGTAAGAAAATGGTGATTATTTTTGTCTTTGCCAATAGAGAAATTATTGCATTGCATTGGTATAGTCGAGATTATCTTGCTTTTTATAACGTTTTTGAGCATTAATCAATATAGATCTGTGTTTTTAATCAAGTTTATATTGTACCTATTTTGCCTTTTTTTTATCAAATAAAGTTATTGATACCATTTAGATAATTTGTCACAACTTAGCAGTGGTCTGTCTGTCTCTTCTTATGCACCTCAAATGTAACATTTATATATTGTAATTATTATTTACGACAAACTGTGTATATTCCTATAAAAGAAGCCAAATACTGATTCAACAAAATGTTAACACCGTCATTTCCATTGAAAGATTTTGACAATCATTGAACCACAATCTAGAAATAAATAACAGCTCCCTAAAACAATGTTCCTGATTACCCTCGAATCGTTAACCTCATTTTGATTACATTTAGGATGGGAATGCATTAAAAGGCTAAATTCTAAAATGTGTTATCTTGGGGGGGGGGGAGGGGAGGTAACTCCATTTTTAAGCACTGTTAGATGGGGACGTAGTGCCAAAGTTATTTGAACTAAGTTCTCCTGCAAGGAATTACTGCGATTGCAATGGCGCCCACTGCGGGCAGTGGGCCGAACACGAAATCTCCTCCCTCCTCCACATCCCCGGTCCACATCCCTCCCCCGCCCTTTCTTCCTCTCCCTCTCTCTCTCTCTCCCCCCTCTCTCTCTCTCTCTCTCTCTCTCTCTCTCTCTTTCTCTTTTTTCTCTCTCTCTTTTAACTTTTCTCTCTATATTTTCTCTCTCTTTCTATTTTCTCTCTCTCTCTCCTTTCTCTCTCTCTCTCCCTCCCTCCTCCCCTCTCTCTTTCTCACTCTCACTCTATCTCTCTCTTTCTCTCTCTCTCTCTCTCTCTCTCTCTCTCATTCTCTTTCTCTCTCTCTCTCTCTCTCTCTCTCCTCTCAAAGACTAACAAAGTAATGATGACGCAGGTGTTTTCCCCCTTTCTTACAAGATCGTTAGATCGTTTTCACAGGATCATGAATAGAACTGATTACAGGGGTGGGGGTCACATGCAGATATGGCAAAATGGAAGTTATGAAATGTTACATATTGTTTGCGTTTTAACATTAAAATGCGGTTTGTGTAGGTCTCTAATATGATTCGATTTCTTACTCGGGGTACATTTATGAGTTTAAAAGTTAGTTTGAATTAAGATGGTCGTCTCCAATCAGTGTCTATTCTGTGAGAACAAAAAATGTTGTCAAAGAAATCTTATCATTATTATACCGGACATTAGAATATTATTGCTTCATAATTTTCACATTTTTAAAACGTGGGTTACCGGGGCACTTCGCTGGAATTGTTCTCGTCCAGACAGAATACACTGTAAAGAAATAATTTATATCTTCGGAGAAAAAAAAATAGATAAAACGAATCAAATATTTGAATAAGATATCATCCGATATAAAGATAGCAAAAATAAATATTAACTATATTATTTAGTCACCTTTGTTCACTAAAATAATGCGCTTCGACTTTATGACGACTGTTTTAGTGAGCTTTGATTACGGATCCATTTGTGCGCGTGTGTGTGTGTGTGTGTGTGTGTGGATGTGCGCGTGTGCGCGTGTGTGTTTGTAGGTGACGATGTGTGTTTGTTTCAAGTATAGGCCTCTAACAAAAAATTAACACAAAATGTAAATGTTAGCATTTATAATCGATTTAATGAATAATTTTACTGACGATTTCATATATCTATCCGATTACATCTGCTACAAATGTTTTGATTTCTAAGTGCCCCTTCCCCCTGCCCGGGCGTCATCTCGACAATACGCGGTCATTTGAATTGAGCCCCCAAGCCCCCAAGACCCCCGGTTCGACAGGCCCAGCCCTGCCTTTACTAGCAATCATAAATGGTAACATCCAAGCCAATTAATCATCGGATACACGCAATCATGCTGCAAATTAAACATGCTCTTTCTCCTCCTATTTTTAATATATTAATGACCCACTTATATTATCATGATATTGATTAGGCAAAGTGCCCATTGCCCTGCACATTTTTGTACCTTGTACGTTGTATACATGGGACTAAGAGATAAGGAGAATGTGACAATATAATTATCACACGTACGTTATTTTCATATTGCTGTAATTAAAGCAATGCATCGTTTTTAATCATAGAACACTTCATATCTGCGTTTCGCCTGTGAATGATTACCATACGTTGTTAAACAAAAGGATATTACGAATTAAAATCGATTTCTTTGGATGAACTTAGTCATTTGTCATACGGATCAAAGATCAGAGGTGAGTAATATACACCAGTTTACTTTATCTTTTCTTTTTATTCGGTCACTGATTTTCTTAAATTAGACTCTTGAACATGATTGCGAAATCTATCAAAAAATCCAAGGGCAATATGATTACCTTATCAAACTGAAAACTGAAAAATGTCAATGTCATGTTCGCATATTTCAAAAGGCCATGCATACGGCTATTTATATATTGCGATCGTTAACCTTATTAAATTGTGTTTAATGTTGCATTAGAAGCAGCTAGAGTAAGGAGGTAAGTCATTTTTTAAATGTAGACCCCCTACAGCCCCCAAGTACTCTTATACGCTGTCGATAATCGTCTTACTACGTAATATAAACCCATTTGTCCTTTTTTCCTTGACCGTACAAAAAGGATTAGAGTAACTACATGTATATCTCAGATGAGCTCTCACTTCTATCTGGACTAAAAATAATAGAAACGTGCTGTAATACCAACCAAAACGATTTCTTTAACGCGATGCCAATTTTATATCTCTACGTCCCTCTCAAAATGAACAAAAAGAGATTTGATATTCAATGAGACCAAGGCACTTGAAAAGAACTATTAAAGATAAAAGTTGAGTACCGGTCAAGTGATTGCATTGTCACAGAAACTGTGACTAAAAAAAACTAAGAAACTAAAATACAATAGGGTGCAGTAGGAAGGAATTGGTTTATACTAAGACACTTTCGATTCATCAAAATAGCGAACTCGCTCTTGTAAAAAGTTACATGCACTTCACTCAGAAATGGGTATATGGGACTACACGTGCGTGTGGCATGAACATGGGGTCCAAACGTTTCAGCTATTTCTTGTCCGCATATCTGGCACATAATGAATAATACAAATATTTATTAATATTTATATTTCGCATCCCAGAGGATGCCCAAGACGCCTACAATGTAATATTATTACCCTGGCTTTGGCCCAGCTTTTCGAAGACGCTACAAGCATGGAAGGAATAGATTCCTACCAGGTATTCATCTGGGTGGAGAGTATGAAATGCAGATTAATGTTTTGCCAACGGACGTTATTGCCGCGGTGGGACTCGAACCGCGAACCATGTGATTCACAGTCCAATGACTTAGGTACTTGACCACGACACTTCTATATGGGGCATTGGGGAGCAGCTTTTTTTATCAGGGGTATTTCTACTATGACATTATTTTGTCCGAAGTGACATAAACAAGAATAAAAGAGCTCAACAATTATTTTAAACTTTTACCTGAACTATTAAACCTTTTTCTCTTTTTTAGTTCATTCTAATTTACCATTGATGGCATTTCTGTCATGCATTATGAATAATTGAGGAGAAAATTGTATATTGTAATTATTCTTTCCATCTCATTGTATTGTGTTCTATTCAATCATTTTTAGTACTATCAAATCAATTCCGTTTAATCATTATTTCCACTTTCCATATCCATTCCAAAATATTCTGTCACATTCTTCTTCTTCTTCTCCCAGTTAAAGGAGTCACACCAAGAAGCAAAAGTGTATTGAATTGATGCAAAATTCATATCATTGCGAAGGGGCAGCCTTACTGATCAAAATTAATAAAACAAATTTCCTCTTCAAAATATGTTTGGGGCCCGCAGAAATCAACTTTCAAAAATGTTAGTTTTGCGATCCAGATTTTCTGCCTTCAGCAGTCCTTCGTATGACGTCACTATTGTGACGTCACACCCTGGACACGGCTGTCTAGATGCAGACTCCGATACGGCCGGTACCGAGCTGTTTGTCCAGGGTGTGACGTCACTATTCAGAGCTCGCTACGCTCGTGTGTTTGGCTTACGTTCGGGGGCGCTTGGGGGTCTAAGAAGGGTCTTGAAAAATTGCATTTTACGCCTTTCCATGATATCTATATGATTTCTCAGCAAATAATTCGTGTTTTTCAAGAGAAAATCTTTCCATCCATATGTAATTTGTTCTAATTATCAGTTGTTAGTAAATTTTCTTTGTGTAGCTCCTTTAAGTAGTGACCGCCGTTGGCGTATTATCGTACTTGTGCTTGTCGAGTGCTTCATCTGTGATAATACTCATAATAATTTTTTTTTTTTTTTTGGGGGGGGGGGAGGGGTTACTGGCAATAATACTTGAATGAAACATGAATGAGCGACGCTATTGATTTAAAGGTAAGCGTGGGAGTCATCCTTATGGTAGTTTATTGACGCTCATATTCCCTCTCGATTTATCCGTCTCACTTTGTATTTTATTTCATTGTCCGATGGGGGCACGTACCCTTTTCCCCCCTGTAGTTACGCCATCGTTTCCACCAACTTCACCTTCGATTGCAGTTTTCTCTTCCAATTGGCGTCGTCGAGATAGAATATCCGGTCGATTGCTCAAACTGGAGCAACACAATCTATTCAAGGAAAATTGGTCGCAGATCACTGCTGTTCG